CACCATTGTATATATTATTCATGTACATTTCATGTTATTACATCACGCCAGGCTAAAGTACTTATAATTCTCGTCGAGAATTGATTGTATGTTCTGTAATGAATAAAAAAAAAAAAGGTTCATCGTATCACTTGAATGTATGATTAATATAGTTTTCTTTTTGTTACAAGTTATCATCGTTGGATTTATTATCAAACCTTCTGGATCTTCTTTTATTTGAGTGTCTTAAATTGCCTTTTTTTAAAATATACGTATAAATGCATTTGTGAAGGCACACACATGATTATATATATATTAAAAATTAAAAATAATTATTCAAAATTTCATAACAATATAACTACACCAAATATATTATCAAAAAATATATCATATACTACCATAAATATTGTACTGGCATCGCGTTAAGTATATACTATCCGCCCACTGGTGAGTCAGGTTAGAAACTAGGATGAATCTGATTGGAAAAAAGGGAACTTATAGGCTTATATATATTTTTGTATTTTTTAAAACTTCTGTAGTCCTTGCTATTAGGGTGCAACCCTATGTTAACGCTTGACGTCAACTTTAAGCGTTAAAGTAGTGCTCCATTTATGTTAAATAAGTAGAGTTATCTCCAGCGTCAAATTGTAAAAAGCAAAAAAGCAAAAAGCAAATTAGCATTTTATTTTTATATAGGCTTTAGAGTCAATTCATAAATGAAATAAATAACTTTAGCAAGCGGAAAGTAGCTTTCTTGTTTATTATTAAGTAGATTTTTGTCAAAACATTAAACAAAAATAATTGTTATTTAAATATAGTTCTAAAAATTTATTTAAAAGCAATGGAACTTTTACAGGGTTTAAGTATTTGATTATATATCGAATAAACGATAATTATGGCAATAATATTTGTGCATTACTTTATGTAACATTCTTGATGATAAAATATTTATTTATTAATCGTTTTTACAAATAGGAAATGAGAGTTGGCATTACTAATCGTTTATGTGAGTCGATATGCAAGGAATATCTTCATTATCTTTTTTTGAAAATATTGATGAAGATCGTTATTGCTATCTATAATTAGATTTAAAACCAAATTTCTTTTGATAGAATAATAGAATAACAAACATATCAATATGATAAATATTTTAAATTAACAGAAAATACAGTGACAATAATCAGACGGGCATTAATTAAAAGATAGACGTAAGGAACAAATAAAGAGACAAAATATATTAAGAAAATAGAGAAAACTTGGAGCCCTGATTATGTTAAGTATGGAGAGAAAAAGTATCAATTATTATAATATAATTTTATCCGTAGTTTCTAAATTGTAATGCCCCTCGATCTGACATGTTATGTCTCTGAGGAGAGATAATTACTTAACAAACTGTTAGACAGGAATATTTTCTAAGAAGAGTTCTAACAGCCATAGCAAACTTATTCCCTTACATTATTCCTCACTTCAAACAGTTAGTCAATGTGGTCTCCCAAGGTGTTCCAGTACAAGCAACAGGATCAAAATTCGGTTATGAATCAGTTGCTACCAAGCCCAGTAAGCATCTCATCACTGTGTTAGGCTCCTACTTACTCAAATATTGAACGTCTGTATGATCAGTTGTCTAGAAGGATTGCTGCTGCGGTTGCCAAGGAATAGATTGCTATATTGACACCTCACCAGACTAGCGAAAAGCTATCAAAGATTAAATGGAAGGTTAAAATGCATAATAAGACTATAGACGAAGCCCTCAGAATGGTATGTTGAACCAAGTTAAACGGTAGTTATGATGTTAGAAACTATTATTTAAAAACTAGTTTCACTTGATGTGTTGAGAGACTGGTACAGGGACTCACCAGGGAAGTCATTGCTCTACTTGAGCAAGCTCGTCTAGTGTATTCCCATCACCACTCCAACAACACTGACATTTACTCTTTCCGTGTTGAATCCTATTTAAAGTGTAATTCCACTGCACTATTACATGGGGAAATTGAGAAGTTTGAGCATATTAGGAAGGTGGTAGAGAAAAGTCTCTATACGATTGAAATCGATCGTAAACGAGAAATCAGTATTCATAATGCGCGCCTTAGTCCGATAGGGAGTTATTAGACACTAGTGTTCGTACCCCCAACCACTCGGGGATCTCGAGTGCGTGCGGCCCACGCTGGCTCTTTAACGGAGACACTGTCTATTTTTTCGCTGGAGGCCTACGAGAACACTTGGAAACAACGAGCGAAAGCAATGATAGAAGGAGAAAGAATTCAGAAAGAATTCACGGATTGAGACGATCATACCCCGGCGCAGGATCGCATGGGCGATAATTAATATGGTAACGACCACAGAGGTGGTACCTAATAAATCGCAGAGGCTATAATTAACGGTGAAAGATCTTATTTCTTACTTCAACCGAATTATCTATCCAGATTAATTTCAGACGAGAGGTGCACCCAACCATTAACGTGTAGACGAATATCAAAAACGGTTCTTATTATAATATCTCAAAGCTTTCCCCCTGACGAGCTAACGAAGCTTTTAACGAGGCATTGCACCTTTTATTGGCTCAAACACGTGATTTTAAAATAACTTTTTCACCTACCTCACGATTAGCCAACTCGATCGCAAGAGGACTTCATGTTGGAGGAATTTTAGCAAATACAGTAATCTGTATACGGAGTTACGATCTATTTTGGAGTCACGGTCTATTTTCCCAGACAAATACCAAATCAAACATTCTACCCGCCGTCTCATAAATTTATACTAACTTGAAGAAAATACAATGTCTCATAGTTGACGTAATTGTTTGCGTAGAAACGTAAAAAGATATTATACCAGACGAGTATCTGACAACTTAGTTCTGATACCAAATACTAGGATCTATCAATAACTTAGGTGTCAATTTCTAAAAGGCACCTCGTGGTTTTTGAGTACTGTGGATGTTATGATTTCGAGGTAGTAACAAAGAGCCCGGGGACGTTCTGCAGCCGAACCTCTAGAATTGCACATAATCGAGAACTAGACCTTACCATTGCGTTGTGAAATATGTTGGAAATACTTAAAAACAAAGGATTTATCTGGCTTCGAAATGCAAAGTTTCAAATTCTCTGGTAAGAGGACTATGTGCGTCTAAGTACACAGAGTAGTACTCAATACCGAAATTTATAAACAATTCCACTTTCTTAAATTACATAAATTTCCTGACATCTATTATTTCCACTGCAAAGTTTCTTCAAAATGCTCTTGTTCAATGATTTATTTGCTTATTATTAAATTCTGATCCCTTTAACACTAATCATACCAAGACTTAATATATACCTATTTCTACCATAGCGGGTCAAATGACCCGACTTTATGTTTCATGCTTGAATGTATGAAATATGGATGTTAGGAAGGAAATAAAAACTAAATTAAATTTATTATAATTAAACAAAATAGTATGTTGAGCATTTCTATTACAAAAATTTTTAATTCTAATTAAAATCTATTAATTTCTATGAATAAAAATTTTTAATTCATAGTTCATCGCATTTTTTACATATAAGTCTGGCCATTGTACATTTTCCGCAAACATATTTTTTACATTTAGAGCAAATTTTGTTGGTTTTATTTTCTTTACAGTATCCTATTTGGCATCTCATACGTTTATAAGCATCTGTAGTAGACTTAGGCAACGATCCTTTCGTATTTGTTCCTTGTTTTGGTTGTTCACGGGCTTCTCGAAAATCGGCGCCAAGTTCTTCTCTGCTAGCCATCTGCAAGACTTAGTTTTTGTAGTAAATTTCCTCGCCATTTGATCGGTCATGTCTACACCAAATTTGGTTTTATTGTAATATGAAACAGTTTCAGGTAAACGTTTATCATTGTTTTCTACTTTAACAAATTTATGTTTAGAACTAAGTAAAAGTACTTTTTTTGTTGGCTTACTTTTATAGATTGTAAGAGTACAATTTATCTGTTGTAAAAATTTTCGATGAAAATCGTTCCATATCATCTTTCTTTTGCTTCGCAATTAGTGGTAATTCTCTTTTATTTGACCGAATAGTTCCAACTAACGTAGTTTTTTTGGCTAGGAGTTGTGTTGCTAGGGATTTGCTTGTGAAGAAGTTGTCTGTGGTCACAGTTCTTCCGCAACCCGTAAATGGCTCAATGAGTTTGAGTACAACATATTCAGAAAGTGGTACTGAAGAGGGCCTATATTCATCTTTTCCAAGATATGGAAGTGCATTTATGACGTATTTGCTATCGACGTCCGATGCTAACCAAAATTTGATTCCAAATTTATCCGGCTTGTTAGGCATGTATTGCGTAAATCTACATCGTACTTTAGTCGGAAATAGCTGTTCGTCTATAGTAATATTTTCACCCGGTTTGTAACAGTTTTGGCTGTTCTCAATGAAAATATTCCAAATTGCAGATACCATTGTGAATTTATCTGTTTTCAAACGTTGGCTCCGCTGACTTTTTTTATCAAAACGAATTCGGTAAAATTATTTCTGCTCATAGTTTCAGAAAAAAATTTAGGCCCCCATATGTTATTCCACAAAAAGGAAATATTCAAATTATTTGCTCCATATGCAGCTCTCGAGCATATAAAATTGCAATAAATGCATCTAATTTTTTTTTAGATAAACTTCAATCGGAACCTAACACTCTGTTTGCTTCTTCTATTGTGAATGTTCTTATATGGTTCATAATACGGTGGTCAATTATCAATGAAAATGCAGTACTAACTTTACCTTTCATTATATGACGTTTTGCATATCCTGTTGGGCCTACTTCTTGCCTAAAAATGTTATGAAGTGGTGCTCTTCCAGGTGTGCCACCTACTTGCATTTGTTGCCAAACAGATCCATCATCATTCGCAACATTTTGTTCATTTATTTCTACTTCACTTTCTTCCGAACTTGAGAGTAATCTTATTCTTTTTCGGCCACTACATACATTCATAATATTTTCCTCTTCATCGTCAGTATCTGTAGAATCAAACTCATTTTTATTTGCAACCAATATATCTTCATTTTCAGAAAATTCATCTTCACTAATTTCTGAAAACTCTTCGCCAATATTATTTATATCTTCTAAGAACTTGTACTGTCTTGTTTGCTTCGACATTTTTCTGGGTAAAAAATGACCTGTATTACTATAGCTATCAAAATAAAATATAAGCTAGGTACTTACCAAGACTTTCAATTTTTGCCACTTTTTCTTACACTAAAAAGCTATTTTCAATCTAAAATTTGATATTTTCTTGAAATTATTCTGAGCTATTTTCGTTGAACTACTTTACGCAACAGTCTTTGGAAGAATGTGCAACTTACTGACTACAAATATGACTCGATAATCTCATAAAACARAAAAATTCTCTCCGGGTCAAATGACCCGTTGTGGTAGATATCGGTATACAACAATGATTACTCAGAATAAACAAAAGAAAAAAAAAATTTTTATAACTGCACTATAATTACTTAGAAAAAGTCATGAAGTCAAATGTGCAAACGCAATAAAATTATATGTGCATTTTCAATGCAAAAGTTCAAAATGGGTCATTTGACCCTTATGGTATGTTTAGTGTTAAAACAATCCTCCAGCAGCAAGTATTCTACGGTAGGCCTATAGAATAATGAGAACTAATTAAATATATAAATTAAATATTAAAATAAATATAATAAATATATATTAATATTTTATATATAATATAATATATATAATCTTGGTCAATTATGTATCCAATTAATCTTACTATGAAAAGAAAATCAAAAAGATATGAGAGTTAAAAAATTTATATATAATTTCGCACACAGTAGTAGTAAAAAATGAGGAAAAAATAATAATAATAATACGAAATAAAGGAATCTGTCGATGAATACAATAATACAATGTTCAATTAAACGTAATTTTATTTTTAGTTGTAGAGAATAATTGCGTTTTAATACATAAACTAATGTCAATTAAATGACTAAAATTTTTAAGGTTACGTACAATAAATAGTTTAATTATATAAGCCGTTTATTTTGAAAGTGGCCTAACTCCATTTTTCAGTTTTTTCCGCTTATGATTACGTGTACAACTTTATGTTATTTATCTGTAAAGCATTTCAGGTTGCTTATAATCCGAGCCAATACGATAATTCTTGACACATAAGTTTTCAGAGTTAGTTTAATAATCGAACCGTGTAGTTTGAAAGTGGCCTAACTCCATTTATACTTAAAAAAAATCAAGATAATATATTTACTATTGATAAGATAATGTCGGAAAGTAGTGATGAAGGTAATATTAATTAATTAGTATTTACAATTTACAATTCATCGAATAACGATGAAGAAAAGAATAAACTCACCGGAGAACACGATGTCCATTTAAGACTAGCAGAATCAGCTAGACATTCACTAAAACAAGCTCAGGAGCAAGTATCACGTAATTCGGATTATTTTGCTTTCTCGTTCGACTTGCAAAAAGCATTACCGTATCCCAAGCTGACTACCTCAGTAGCATATTACAAACGCAATATGTATATTCTAAATTTTGGTATACACAATTTTCATAACGATAATGTTTACATGTACGTTTGGGATGAAACTATTGCATCCAGAGGTGCTCAAGAAGTTGTTTCATGCATCTTAAAACATATTAAAAATTTAAGAAGTGAAAAACACATTATAACTTACAGTGACATGTGCACCGGGCAAAATAGAAACATTAAAGTAGCTTTAATGTGGTTAAAAATTGTCCAAACTTAGGATAATAATGTGGAAATCATAGATCATAAATTTTTAATATCAGGGCATTCGTTTTTACCAAATGATAGAGATTTTGGCGTGGTAGAAATGACATTAAAAAAAATAATTTTCTGTTCGTTCCCCAAAATTATTACAAGATTGTTAAAAAGTGTCGGAAGGGTAATAATTTTATTGTAAATGAAATGAGACAAGAAGATTTTGTATCAACAAAATTATTAGAAGACGCAATTTTTAAAAGGGTAAAGAATTCTGATGGAGAATTAGTAAACTGGCTAAGAATATGTCGGATGCGTTTTGTCAGAAATGAACCATATAAAATTTTCTATAAGACATCAATGAATGAGAATGAAAATTTCAAAGTCCTGAATTTATTACCACGTCGGGGTAGACCAAGAAAGTTCGAAAATATTTTATTGACACCATTGTATAAAAATATTTGACAAATTACAACAGCAAAATTTGAGGACATAATTAACCTATTACGATACGTACCACCAGAACCATCATGATTCTTCAAATCCCTTACACACACATAAAATGTAGACGAATAGTAAATTGTTTTGTAATAAATTTATGTTTGTAATTTTCTATGTTTTGTAATAAATTAAAAAATGTTTTGAATCGCATAAATTATGTTTCCGAAGTGTTTTCAATATATATAAAACAAATTCAGTATTGTTTTTTTTTTTTCAATTTGAAACATCTTAAATTATGTAGAATGGACTTGGGCACCTTCAAATTTTACAATGAATCTGGCTGTTAATTTTGAAAGTGACCCAACTCCATTCTTGATAAGAAAACGCACGTTATTTACTTAAAGATTGCCACTATTTTAACAGGAACTTTAAATTTAACATCCTTAGATACGCTTAAGCAGTATAAATCATTAGTATCCTATACGTATATTTTTAAATTCATTGAAACGCAAAACTTTAAATATCTCGATTTGAAGGTAAATGAAGTTAGGCCACTTTCAAAATAAGCGGCTCATACATAGAATTCAAGATAAAAGAAATTTAAGATAGAAAAAATAGTTTCTCTAGATAGTAGTGCATGTTTTTTTTTAATGTGACATCATTGGAAAGACTTTGGGGGGGGGGGGGGGTCTAATGTTTTATTACACCAAACCTTTCAAATATTTCTTACCGAAAGTAAAAAAGCAGTTCAGATAGTTGTCCGGGAATGGTCGAGAAGTTTCGGAAACGACAGAGGAAAATATGAAAGAAAAGCGATTTCAAGTATAAATGGGCGGCGGGACAGTTTAATTCAAATCAGTTCTGTAGCAAAAAGTCGAACTATTATCTCGTACAATATTTACTCTAGATTCTAGTAAAAACCGATTATTGTTTACTATCGAGAGGTTATTGGAGAGTATAGCTGTGAAATTGTTTTTACTATGTAAAAAATAAAGTTTTTGAAGAAGAATATTCTATATATTAACAAACTTCAGGAATTTAATGAGGATTTTTTCTATATTCCTACCTATGCAGTATAATTTCAGTACAATTTGAAGAAAAAAACTGAATGTTTATTGTAAATTTGAACATAATGCGTCAGAATTATTACGTGTTAAAAAGTGATATATTACTGTAACCACTTGTACCATAAATAATGAACATATTCCGTACCGTGGACTACTGATCTGAGGAACATAACGATAATTATCGTTGTTATTTTCAGAGTATATTATTATGCTACGCAACAAGACTGAGAAAAAATTGAAGCAAATGATGCTGACTGAAGCCATGACAAAAAAAACAACTGAAGGTTTTTTTTGTATGCAGAAGAAAAATAGAAAATCGCCATTAGAAAAAACAATTATTCGACGGCTTTTACCGAATATGTTCTTTGATTTTTTATTTTGCAGAATTTTTAAGAAACTAGAAAAGTATTTTCTGAGATTTAAGAGCCCTGTTTAGTAGAATTTATTAACAAAGTGGCAAAGAGGAACTATGGATTGATGAAGAACAAAGTTCGAAGTTTGGCTATTAAGTTTGCAATTGCAAATAATAAAAATAAGACTGTCAAGTTGGACAAAGAAAACACATTAGACAAAAAAAAAAGACTACTTATGAGAACGCACGCTACAAAATTACATATTCAATAAAAAGTCAGAATAGACAAGTTTGTCAGACTTTTAGCACTACTTATTGCGTCTATACATTGGTTTCTTACTGATTTTTTCTTGTCTTATTTTTAATCCATGCTGCATGTAGCAGGTCAGTTCAAAAATACGCACGAACATAATATTTATTTAATTAAATATGATCATATTATATAATATTTACTACTCCATTTTTCTTTCCTATTCTACACTGTTTACAGATAGTGAAACTAAACGTTAAGTAGAGATATCATATAAAATAAAATCCATATAACTAAAATAGAAATATTAATTGATGCTTTGTAGTTTTGTTGCAGAAAATATAATCCAAGATATAACCTTCTACTTGCAAAAATGACAAAAATATGTTTATATTAGATGGTTTGAACATAATAATAATAAAAAAATAAAAATAAAGAAAGACTGTGTCGTGTTGACTATATGACTCATTATTTAATAACAAAGATAATAGAATATTCTGTCTGTAAGAGAAAAACAATGATAACAGGGGAGATATGCTATGTAATTGGCTTAAAATATAGTGGATAATATTTTTAAATATAGAAACTCTGTAGAATATAATTCAAATTTGATTTTAATGAAAATGTAGAATTTAAATAAATAAATATTAGTAAGTCTATAGTAGACATTACTAGTTTTGAGAAATATAGATCAGCAGCTTTAGTTAATTCCTAAAGGCAGAAACTGTGAAAAAACAAAAAAACAAAAGCACTGTGAATTTATAAGAATTATTGTAATTATTCTAGCAATTTAAAAACAAACATGACAGAACTTTGAATAAATTTGATAAAGAGAACATAATTATCTATCGAAATTATAATTAAACGCATTAATAAAAATAATTGTTAATAATGATGAAATTACCAGCATTAACTTTTTCCAAAAATACTACATAGAGAATGATTTTTAAAGTACAATTTGATTTTATTTTATCTTCATATTTATTTGTCAAAATGAATAATCATGCAAAAATTGTACTTATTAACCATTACTTTAAAGATATACAATCTCATAATTTTCATATTTCTTTATATAAAATCTTGGCTTAAAATATTATGTTTTACAATGTTCATTTGAGTATAAATTCTAACAAGATTTAAAAAAAAAAAGTTCTTTTTGTAAAATGAATTGTTTTGGTAAAAATAAACAGTTTGAATATTTAGTCCGTTATAAGAATTCGCATAGGAATAAACCCGGGTTATACGCAAGTTTACTGCGTCTTATTCTGCGTGTCTTACGAATAAGTGAAA